CACGTTTGCACATCGTATGTGTATACGCGGTGCGCGTTCCGGGACTACGCGGCAAGCTCATCTCTCATCCACGAGTCCTTTTGGACCAATTTGGAGTCGCGGATGAACGCGGGACTCGTTAGGGAGTCCCTGGAACGCGCCCCGATACTCGGGTTCAAGATCCTTTCTTTTGACGATGAAACATATATTAGGGGTGATTGCGATCGTGTCAGAACGGCGACTATCTCTGATTTGAAATTCGTATCCCTGTAATTTCGACCCTCCCGCGGAAACTCGAATTCTTGAGAATTAGTTCAGGGGAACACTCGCTGCCCCTCCCGAGGCTTCAGCGTAATTTGGAAGTGAAGAAAATCCTTAAAATCGCGATTATATAGACCATCCTTATAGAAAAGTATTACTGAAACTACCGGCCAAAATATTACTGGCAGTAATTTACAGTAATTTATTACTAAATATCTTTCAGTAGTTTCAGTAATGCTTAGAAAAATATTACTGAAACTACTGAAAGATATTCAGTAATAAATTACTGTAAATTACTACCAGTAATATTTTGACCGGTAGTTCAGCAATACTTTTCTATGAGGGCAAAAGCAGCAAGGAACCTAGAACTCCATGTCCCGTGAGAATGTTGATTAATCGCCGTGTTCCTAAACCTTTGGCGCTCTCCGAATAAGATATATACTTGCGTATATAATCTTTAGAACTTCTCGCGAGCTTTAAAGTCCTTGATTTTTGAAAAAAAAAAAAAAAAAAAATACGCGCGAAACCCCTTTAAAACGTCACCCGGATTTCCCAGATCTTTATGATTATTAAATTATATATACATATATACATATACATATATATTTTTAGGCGTAATATATGATTATAACTATGCCTCACGTCGAGCTGAGAGACGCGACGGATGTGTCGCTTGTCGAAACAGTCAGGCGTTTCTGTGATTCCTAGACTCGAAACGGTGTAAAACGACACTGAGGTTCTCACACTTCGAACAAGAAAAAGAGAAATTTACGCGGACGATAGCGCTCGTTCTGGCCGAGATCCTGACGGATCCCGGGTTTGACTTTTCATTCATAGCCATTCTCGAGTGCCAACTTGACTCTCTGAATGCTAAACTGAGAAGAAGCGATCCTCGTGCGCGCGAGATTACTATCTGAATTGGAAAGTCAGAGACACTCAGAGATTTCGCCGCCGATCATGGTATTCGCGTTTCCTTCTTTTTTCCTTTCAGTTTGATCAGTTACTCCAGTTGACTTTCAAATTTCATCCTTTTGTCACTTGCAACATCTTTAATTATTCGTTAATAGAAATATTGATGAAGCTAATTTATGGGTAATTACGCGGATATGCACATATAACTATTTTTTATCTTAATAAAATGTTAGCAGTGTGCCAGCAAATTCGAGCAGAATATTGCAGATTAGCATCATCTGTCTCTGTTATAATCCCTGATAACTGTATTATTAGACATAATGGATTTTTCGATAGATTTATCTTGACAAAATGACATCTATAATTTTTATCTTTACGTATCTGGAGTTTTCTTTTCTTATTTAGATATTCTCAATTAATAAAGACACAGTTTTGATAGTATTTCATTAAATATTTATTTTTGTAAAATAGAAGATGTTTTTTTTTAATATCTTGCTGAGCTACTGTCAATGACTATTATTAGAGCCTTGATTCTAATGATACTGTTATGTAACATTTAAATTAATGTTCACCATGACAAATGAATAAATAAAACAAAATTTCTAATAATAGAAACAGAAAACACGGTGTTCCTCTACAACTGCTAACAAGTTCATACTAAAAATTTTCTTATAGACACTGTAAGTGACAACTAAAGCATTTATTTTATAATTATATTATTGTTTCCCTTACATATTTTATTCTATTACAACATTGATAGATTTAGTATCAGTAATGTAATATAAATTTAATCCTTGGAAGTTAATAAATCCTAAAAGAAATATGATTTATCTAATAATATGGGCAGAGACCGTAAGTAATTCTGCCAGTCTGGCGGTCTGTCGATATTAACCCGACAGCAGATTATCAGCAAAATCCGCATTCTGCACCTATTTAAATGGAATTTACATCATTTGGAATGGTTACAAAGTGATAGATTTTGCTCAATATTTTTTTTTCGCAGTCCTACTGTCATCGTATTCCGCTAACCGAATTCTCTGTTACATTTTCGCTGGCATTCTGCCGGTAAAATTTGCAGCGTACACTTTGCGAAATACGTTTTTCGACAGATTGGCTGTCTGGGCATATTTACGACGGAATTATATATAGGACAAACGGCACGCGTAAGCGGACGAAAATATCCGTGTTATTTCAAGAAAGTACTTCAAGGGTGAAGTGTCGAAACTCGGTATTAATTTATAATTAGCGTCCGCACGCGGGCGCGAGTTATTACAAACACGATTAATATATAGTTTAAGACGGGACAGGGATGCTATCGTCCGCGTCGCTTTAAGGAACAAATCCCACGCAACGAATCTTGAAAGTAGTCAATATATCTAATCAATTTCCGAGGATAGGATCAACTCTCTTATAGGGGATAATTAAATGGAAGGGTGTACGAAGGGTGGGAAGCATAACCCCAAGTAAATTTGTAAGCAGGAGAGGACGTTTCTTTTCGGACACGGAGAACGATTAAGTATAATCTTCCATTAGATGAGCTCGAGACATCAACGGCGGTGAGCGTTTACAGACGAGTTTGCCGTAAAAAATGTGGGGTGCGATTAAATGCGAGGAAGTGTGTACATACGTCACGTGTATTTAATTATAATAGCGACGACAGAAACGTAGCGCATATTTTTAAAGGAGAGAAAATATACGAACGCCATGGCACTAAGCGACCGATTAAATTGCGATTAATCCCGCGTTAAAAATAGGGCCCGGTCGATACTCTTTAAAAACTATAGCGTTAATCACGAAGCTGATCGATCATTATTAACGAGGGACGGAACGCGCGTATGTAAACTATTACGATGTCTATGAACCAACGCGTTTTCATGCCGAGAACAAATAAATTTGCAAGTCGGAAGGATTGCGTTCTGGATCTTTTTATTATCCCCCCCTCCCCCCCCCGCCCTCCTGTCGATTAATCCCTGCATTTGATTTACTCTAGCGATGAAAAGCAAAAAATGAAATACAATTGAATTACAAATAGAAAAGACTGAAAAATTTAACAATATGCAGTTGTTAATAGATCATAAAATAGAACTAACATATTCCTTTTTCTTATTTCTCGCAGTCAATATATTTACCTTTTTTTATTATTAATATTAGATTAGAATGAAAAAATAAATTTTATCATAAATTTCTATTTTGCTTCTTTTCTAGATAAGCATTCTCTGCTCAAATTTCAATTAGGTTGAAAGTCAGCTTTTTTTTTATATAATCTTGCTCGTGTAACTTTGATAAAATTATATTATTTAGTTTTTTCAAACTAAATAATTAAGTAATAGTGAGATTTAAAAAATTAGAAAAAGATACATAATAGCAAAAAATATAATTACAGAAGTGCATCAAAAGTTTTGAAGTCTGTTTGATGTCTTATAACATCTTTTTCTTTGTGTACTTAAACTGAAAGCTGCAAATAGAGAACACTCTGCCAACTGGTATAAAATCAAATAAAAAAAATTTACAAATTCTTGATCATATGCTTCTAATCATTCAGGTCATGAAAGAATTATATATCCAACTCTTTCTTGTAATTATTTAAATACATACATATATGAAAATTTATTTATATAATTCAAAATGTGTAAGAAACAATTTACTTTAAATAAATATAAGAAGATATTAACATTTCGATCATTTTCAAATGCGTTTTTCCGTTCAAGTAGAAGAGATCACATGAGGAAACAGTAAGTCAAGGAAACGTTTAAGAAAGATAATACAAGTATGTTTGTCTACTAAATTGTATTTGTCTTTTTTTTTTAAATATGTCTGTATGCGCGTGCCATTGTGTATTACACATTTCATGTGTATTGAATTGAATATCTCTCATTTCGATATTGGTTTCTTTAGAGACACGTTTTAGTTTGCTTTTTTTTCTCGATTTATTTTGTTGCGATCTTAACAGAGAAGTATGAAATGTAACTGGTATAGTTAGCAAGTATTTTACATACAAGGTGGTTTCTGTAACTGGGCTGGATTACGGCTTTTTTCTAAATGAAGATAGAAACAAAATGACAGAAAAGAATCTTTTATTGTTTAACATGATCTATTGTCCGATTATATTTTTCGGATAATAGTTCACATCGATGTACTTATATATCACGCATTTGAGCACTTAATATAATAAAAATAATTTTATGAAAGTATGTGATATCTAACAAAATATTGATCTGCCAATTGCTTTACCTGTAAATACTTTTGTACAAAATAACGAAAAAAAATCGATTTATGCTTAAAAAAAATATACGATTCCATTTTTTAAGTGCAATTGCACTTACTAATCCAGCTTAGTTTCGTTAGAATCATCTTATATATCTTGTACATGAAGACATATAGAAAATATTTGAAACAATTACAAAATGTCAACAAATGTATAATTTTGTCTTTCAAAGTATTTAAAAAAAAAATCTTTCAACTTAATCGTAATGCAATAAGTAATAAATAGAACTTTTCTTCAGATAGATTTAGATATTATTTTTTAAAACTCAAATATGTTAATCTATTGACTACTTGTTTATCTCATTTTATTAACAAGTTCGAAATTAGTGTTTATATAATTTGTCATTAATAATCAATTTTATATCGATCATTAATTAGTTTTTAATTTTTAATATTAGCATTAATATTATTTAAATTAATTGTGTAATAAGTAAATGTATAGAATGAAAATTCCTTGTTATCTCTTCGACACGTCCACCGCCTAGTATTATTTGATAGTCGAGACAAGTAGTAACCTTTCGTGGCTGTCGACTTTAGTCGACGATCATATCGAAGAGATTAAAAGTTTAATTAAAATATAAAAATACACGGAGAAAACTGCTTCGCAATGTATTTACAAATTATGTACAAGAAGAAAGTTCTATCTACACTCAATTAGAGATTTTAAGTGTTCATATTGTTGACAAGTACACTAAAAGCTAAAAGTTTGTATTTTCATTTCTTATGTAGCAGTATCTTTAAAAAATGTCCTCTTGACACGCTTTAAAAAATTAGTGCTAAATCTTATTCTCAATTCGCTTCTGTATTCTGCGTCTCCACTGTCTCCTTTTGAATGGGATTTTCGGATCTCTCGTTCGTGTCTTGCTCGTTAACATTATTTGCGGAGATAGTTCTCGACCAAGAGCAACTTCTACGACCTGGTGACTTTGGCATAGACCAGGAACTGCTGCGCGATATCCGTCTGGGTGACGTGGGTCGTGATCTCGCTCGTGTGACTTTGACAACGGAAGACGATCTCTTGCCGCGCCTGCTCCTGTAATGATTCCTGCTGCGGGACCTGGAGCCACTTCTGGATCGCGATTTTCGTCTGGATCTGGAACGACGCGTTTTGGAGCTTGATTTCGATCTGCTGGACGATTTGTTGTCCTTGCGCTTCGACTTAGAGTTCGATCTTGACCTTGTTCTCCTCCTCGAGGCGGATTTGCTTGCCGATCTCCGGCGGCTGCGCGATCGGGAGCGATTCTTAGACCGCGACCTCGATCGCGATCTTGATCTCGATTTGTGTGAACGTGATCTCGATCTGCGCGACCACGATCTTGATCTCCGCGATCGTGATCGTGATCGCGATCTTGATTTGCGCGATCGTGATCTCGATCTGCGCGATCGCGATCTGGATCTCGACCTTCTGTCACGACTCTTGGAACGCGAACCGCTGCGTCTTCTACCACGCAATCTCGAGTTGCTCCTAGATTTCGTTTTGGAATTCGTCCTGGTCCTCGTTCTTGAGATAGATCTATTTGTCGATCTTCGACGGTCGCGCACTCGCGATTTCCGCTGTTTCGAATCCCGCTCAACCAAATGTGTAAAATACTCGTAATATTGTCCATTATACAAATAAGGATTTGTCAGCGTATAGTTCATGTCGTATCGTGGAAATCCCCGACCCCTGCCCATAGGTAACATGGGGTGATGAAGCGACATCGCAGAATATTCCGACATTGGCGACCGTATCATCTGTGCTCTCGAATACCTCGGCATCCTCATTGCATGGAATGGCGCCATCGACGGCAACATTTGTATCCTCGACATCGAATCGGAATAGTCATAAGGAAGATTTGTTGCCGCAGCACCTGTAATTAATGTCGTACATGTCAATATTATTTCACTCTTTTTATTCTACATTTATATGTGCAAGTTTTGTGTGATCGAAATTTACTTGTGGACGAAGTCGCACTATCATTCTTTATCAAGACACTCTTGAGCTTTTTCTTATTCGTTTCTTCATCCGATTCTTCCTCGGTCGTGCTGCCCGAACCGGATTCATCGCCCTTTTTTTGTTTTTTCTGCGTTTTCTTCCGCTTTTTCTGTAAACAAAAGTAATATTATTAAGACTTTACAAAATTTATTGCGTTGCAATGACTTCACGCATAATATAATGACAGTTGAATACCTTTTTCTTTTTTTCTTTCTTCGTCTTTTTCTTCTTGATCTGCTTTTCCTTATTTTTCTTATCGTCTTCCGCATCTGCTTTTTTCTCATTTATTTGGTCGTTTTTCTTTTCACCCTTCTTTTCCGTATTTTGATCCGTATTTAGCTTAATCTCTTTTTTCTCCACTTTCGTCTGTAATTATAAAATACATTATCAGTATTCACGAATTTAATTTTAATCGATCTTAGAAAGATTTTATTGCGTATTTTTTGTCATCTACCTTTATTCTGTCAAACAGTTCATCTAATAATCGTATGCTTTCCAATTGCCGTTGAGCTTTTATCAACTTTTGTTCTTCCCTTGCAATCTTCATTGAGACTTTGTCTTCCTCTTGCTTACGAAACTTCGTAAGGGCCTTTCGTTTTCGTTTCTCTTCCCGATTTCGTTGTCGGTCGACTTTCGCCATCGAATTTACCTCCTCTTTCTTTCTGAGGTCAAAGCAAGAATAATTTTATATCGTAAAAAGAAATATAATATAGTACTTGCTAAATATATATATATATATATATATATATATATATATATATATATTCAAGTATCTTTCTCATTAAAACACTTACTTTTGTTCCTCTTGCCGTTTTTTTTCTGCTTCCTCTCTTTTTCGAATTTTCTCCGCCGCTAAGTTGTCCTGTGCTATTAGACGCTTTCTCTCGAATTCTCGGTGCGATACCGAGCTATCGCTCAAGTGTTTGGTCTTGTCGAAATCAATCTGGAATGATTACAATCAAAAGACATTCGATTTAATTTAATTTAAATCTCTCATTTTATTCTACTTATATTATCGCATTTAAAATATTTGTTATACTTTACATTGAATTAAGTTTACAATTAATAAAATTCCGGAAAATAGATTAATATTGATCTATGACAAAAGAGTATTATCGCAATAGATAGGCATTATATTTTTTATTGCGGATTACCTTCAGTGTCGCGGTCAGCGAATTCTGACCGTCCTTCTTCAACAGCTTCATGCCGCGCAGAGCGTCCATCGCTTTAACGAAATCCATGTATTCGACGTATTGTATGTACACGTCGAAAAATATGCCGTCCTCATAGCTGAATTTATGAATGTTATTACCGAGCCGCATCCTAGACCTGTAGGAATCCGCGGCGGGTACGTCGATTCTCCTCAGCGTACCCCATTTCTTAAAGATCTTCGTGATGAGCGACTCGCTCGGTGCATTTGCGTTATCCTCGGTGAACCATTTAACCGGTAAACCGCTAATATGGATAGTGTCCGGTCTCTCGCCGGCCTTCAATTCATTCATGTGTTTCGCATCCCTGAAATAGGAGTTCCAGCTGTGTCTGGTTGGGAAGTCATCCTTCGCCTCGGCCGCGCGGACCTTTAACGTTAAAGTTAAACATTAATTAATTCGTAATATCGTTTTTATAGCTAATTATTTGACAATTAAAGGTTATATTATATTATCTTATATTATCTTCGTTAATATCTTAAAACTTGTCTCCTTGTACGTTTTTTTTTTAAATCCTTCACGTTAATATTGTTATTAATTAATTCCTCCAATTAAATTGGCACAAATCTCGCAATCGGAATTGTATTGTGCGGCTTACGCTTACCTTGAGGACATTGGAGAAGCCGGCCAGATTCAGCTGCTGCGAGTCCAGCCTGGCTAGCACCCTCGGCAACCTGCATCGGTCCCGCAGGTCGCCCTCCAGCCGGATGAATTCCAGAGTGCTCTTGGCCACTTTCAGGGATGCGAACTCGTCCGGCAGTATAAGCGCGCGTATCTTCTCCATTACCTCCCATGTCGATATTGTTTTGCCTGTTCATAGCGCAGTTAAGAGTCTGTAAGAAGCTATCTTTACTAGAGCTGTTACAAGTGCTCGTGGCATTCGCATGGATCACTTGGGATCATGGTTTTTCTTCCAACGGTTGAACGCTAACGTTATTCTCCTGTTATTCTCCACTAGAGATCGCCGACGACATAAACGCAAACATACGATTGTGATTACGGCAGATTTTTACGACATGATAAATTTATTGTGACAACTTTATCTTTCAAAAACGAATTGTTATAAATTAAAGTAGAAAGAAATAGATTACAAACAAGTATTATCAAATGGTGGAATGATTATCATCGCTCAAGTAACTGCTGACAAAACGTAACAAAGGAAACCAGAGTAATAAGAAAGATACAAAAGTATGACGGGAATTGATATTAGATGCAAATTAAAATCAGACGGAATCAGATAAAATAACACAATGTCAGTATTTAATTAAGATTAAATATGAAATGACCAAAAAATTGAAATTTGAAGAATTAAAGCTTATAAACTGTATGTTATTCTTATAATATAAATATATTGCAAAATTTCAACATCAAAACACCAAAGTTATAACTTTAAATTTTTATAATCTCAATTTTAAGAGAAAAAATAAGTTCTTCTCCTTGTCATCTCCTCTTTCTAGAAATTCATTATTATAGTACAGTTCTCTCATTCAATTGATATTTTGAATTTACAAAGAACATTAATATCTGCAACAGCCCTAACTTTTTATTAACACTAATATATTTTGATATGTCATAAGAAGAAACTTTATAACATGCAACAGCAATTTATATAATGAACAGAAGGAACACCCTAACTTTAATTCTCGAAAATATCTTAAAGCTCGAGTATTATTAATAAAAGGGAATTGTATGAATCCAATCGACAGAAATATATTACAGTTTAATAAAATAGAAAACATTCTGTTTCTCTTTGAAAACACATGTTAGCATTGTGGATAAAAAAAGATATTAAACTTATAATTCATCAAGATTTATCAAAATTAATAATAATAAAGTTTTTTGAGATGTGCACAATCAGAAAAAGAAAATTAGACAAGTAATCGAACATGTAATTGATAGAACGCAAGCATCGATTAGAACTTTTAAACATTTGTGTGAGTTCTGTCAGCTACGCTCTAGCTCTTGCTGCCCAATTTTTCTTCCCCCGATTGTTACTTCAAGTTCAGATTGTGACAAGAATTTCGTGCAATACTGATGCTGCAACATACAGTAAAGGAAATTTAGATAAGATCCAAAATCTAATCAACAGAACGCAAGCATCGATTAGAACTTTAAACATATATTTGAGTTCTGTCAGCTGCGCTTTCGCTCTTGTTGCCTAATCTTTCTTCCCCGATTGTTACTTCAAGTTCAGATCGTGACAAGAATTTCGTGCAATATTGATGCTGCAACACACAGTAAAGGAAATTTATATTAGATCCAAAATGTAATCGACAGAACGCAAGCACCGATTAGAACTTTAAACGTATATTTGAGTTCTGTCAGCTGCGCTTTAGCTCTTGTTGCCTAATCTTTCTTCCCCGATTGTTACTTCAAGTTCAGATCGTGACAAGAATTTCGTGCGATACTGATGCTGCAACATACAGTTTAAAAAAATCAATTGCTGCATGATATTTTGAAAAGGGTAACAGTCAGAAAGTAAAGAAAGCTGGAAAAGAAAGACAGAGAGGAGACAGTCAAGGTCCATCCTCTGGAGAGGACTAGTATTGGTGACGATGATGATGTTTTTTTTTACCTGGAGTCTTCAGTTGGGGCAGAGTGACCGACACGTTAACTTTGGCAAGCGGTTTCAGATAAAGCGCGTGCGACGGGTACAACGGTATAATGTCGCTCAGATCCCTACAGCTTCGAAATCGGTTAGCAACCTCGCTACTGGGAGTTTCACCTACCTGCTTACCGTCGCTCATCGCCGGTTAAGAAGAAAAAAAAAAAAAACTACTGTATTGAGAGGCTAAGAATTGGCGGAATTTAATTTCTGGCCGAATGATCCTCACTCTCTTTATCTCTCTCGCGCTTTGGACGTCTCTCTTACGACAAGCTGGCGGGATGAAAACACCTCAGTAGGGAGGTTACGAAGATCTTCGCGGGACGCGATGCTGGTTCAGCTGGCTGCGTCTCCTGCTACTCCTCCGTCGCGCGGATACTACGAAGGCTATACTACTGACACGCGATTTCCGTCACTCGGCGAAAAATCGCGGAGCGAAAAATCGCGGGGCGAGTCGACGGGGGGACGACGATCTTCGTGGACGATCTTCGGCGCGAATGCGAATGCACTCCTCTCGCGATATTATTAACCTCTCTCGTATGCCGGTGCGGTGCCCGCGAGACGGGACATTTCGAGAGGAAGAGAAGACACAAACACGTCGTGCGACGTATACACGCGAAACGACTCGTCGAAAATACCGTTTCCTAACTAACCTAAACAAACTGTGCCTAAACCACACTGAACAGTGTCGCCAACATCAGTGCAGTGGAGGAGGAGCGGCCGGCGTTTTTCGCAACACCAGAGAGAAGCGTGAGAGAGGCCACGCTGGCTTTTTGGGTGGGACCAGCGATTTCCCCCGTACACTAGCGATCCACGTCCACGTTTTCAAAAAAGGAACTACGTACCACGTCTATCTTATAACTTTGTCGATCAAATCATAGTTAAAACGTGGTTCGTGTCCGTGCTAATCGTGTATTATACATATATGCCACATTTTTCTTTCTTTTTCGTCTTTCTTTTTCTTTCTATTTCACGCAAAACTTCATATTACATAAATTAATTATATATATATATTTTTTTAAAGTAAAGATTTTAATACAAGTATA